TGGGCATAAGATGACATGAGGGCATAAGGTGATATGAGGGGTGGTCTCCTCCCTTATTGTGAGCAAACTTGGTTGGAGGAAGTAGGAGGAGGGCATCATGGAAGCCAGGGAAAGGCTGCCACAGTGACTCAGCATATAGGACTTTAGCTTATACAGGGTGATAGTGTCAGGGGAGATACAAAGAAGTGGATGGATTTGGGAAATTTTCTGGAAGTTGTCCTGACAGCACTCAGTGATGGATTGGATGTAAGGAATGTGGGAGAAAAAGATGTCAAAAATGACTCCAAGTTTTCTAGCTTGAGCACTCCCAGAAGGAGAGATTAGTGGAGATTTAGGAATGTTTATCTTTCAGATGCTTATGGAGGCATCCAAATAGAGATGTCAGGTGGGCAACTGGAGAAAGGAGTTGGGAGCTCCAAAGCAGCTGGATTGCTCTTAATTTGCCTGCAATACAATTTTCTGGGTTTTGTTTGTTTGTTTTTGTGTTTTTTGAGACGGAGTCTCGCTCTGTTGCCAGGCTGGAGTGCAGTGGTGCGGTCTCGGCTCACTGCAACCTCCAACTCCCTGGTTCAAATGATTCTCCTGCCTCAGCCTCCCGAGTAGCTGGGATTACAGGCGCCCACCATCACATCCAGGTAATTTTTGTATTTTTAGGAGAGACGGGGTCTCACCATGTTGGCCAGGCTGGTCTCAATCTCCTGACCTTGTGATCTGCCTGCCTGGGTCTCCCAAAGTGCTGCGATTACAGGTGAGAGCCACCGCACCCGGCCACAATCTTCTGTTTATTCCCTCCAGAACTGTCTTCACTCCTCCCACCATCCTCTCCAGGCTGCTTCCCTGCTGAATGGCCATATTTTTTTCACATCTAGACCTTTGCGTGGGATAATGTCCCTCTACCTCCCCATCCCATCACATGGCTACATCTTACCAGATTTATAGCCTTGACTCTCCCTCTACCATGAGCCCCCACCCCCCACTTCTCACCCCACGACACCTCACCTCGTCAGGGCCCTTGTCACACTGCATTGTGGTCGCATCTTCCCTTGTCCTTCAACTCCCCCATGGAATGCAAATTCCTTGAAGCAGGAAGCATTTCTTATTTAGGGTTATGTCCCTAGCAGCGATAGACACTTGGTAAATAACCCTGGATGAATGAATTGAACTGTGACTTCAGCTTCTTCTTGTTCCAATTCACAGAGAATATCATATCCAAAGTACACTACTCTGGACATCCCTCTCCTAAGATGTCTCCCTTCCTTAGAAGCTCTGGAGGCTTCCTGTTGTTTACTGCTTCCAAAGGAGGCTTCCTGCCCCTCTCTTCTCTTTTCGAATATATGGAAACAGAAAGCATGCAAGGCCTGAATGTTTTGAGGTCAGGGTTTCTTAACAAGTGAGGTATTATAAATAGCTTCTACATATCCAAGGAGCCACAGAGCAGGAGGTGCTGGGGATCAACAGGGAAGATGTAAAGGAGCCTCTAACACCTTCTTGTAGGTATAACGTCAGGTCCAGTGGGCGGAATTTCAATTCCTTATAGGCACCTTTCTCAGGAGACATGGTACATTGAGGTCCTTGAGCCACTTTTAGTTCATTTTTTAAAAAGTCTGTTGCATAGAAGCAAAACTTCCCGAACTCTCAAATGGGGAAGGCTGTCTGTGAGACCACAGATATGTAATTACAGCTGACTTTGTGCAATAAGATAATTACTTAATCTTCTTTTGCACATAATAGTAAGTATGAATAGAAAAACGAAACTAGATGCTAATGATAGCAACTGTAGGTTTATATGAGCTTGTTATAATTGAGAACATGATGGCCACATGGCCAGGCTAAATCTTTGACCTTGAATGACCAGCCAGTGTGCTTTAGGTAGCCAACTGTGGGTTCTGTTGTGAAGGATAAGGAGAAATAATGGTTAATCATGTACAAAACATTGGGGATACATTGTTGGACATTGAATCTAGGTGAGGGGAAATTAGGGATGTAAAAGATCTTTTAGCTCTCTTAAAAGAAATGCCTTATGATATACAAGTCTATGGTTTCATTTTCAGGAGGTTCCAGAAATATATTATGGATGACAGTTGGGAGCTGACTGATAAAAGAGGGCCCAGAGGTCTTGGAACTATTTGAAATGCTGCAACAGCAACTATGCAGGAGTTTCCTTAAAGGAGATCTAGAGTTATCTGGGGAGACAGCTTCATAACTGACCTTACTGGTGAAATGCATGGTACAGAGGAAAACAGCTTTCATCAACAGTCCAAGCTGTCTAATTTAAAAAAGATAGGAAGTCTATGCTCTAACTGGGTGCGAGTCAGAATTACCTAGAGTGCTTGTTAAACCCTGTGTTTCTAATTCAGTAGGTCTGAGGCGGGCAGGAATTTGCATGTCTCCGAAGCTTCTATGTGATGCTCTGTGGTTCAGGGACCACACTTTGAGAACTACTCCAGACTAATGGCTTTTAACCTTGTACATACATTAGAATCTCTTGGGGAGCTTCTTAAATATACCCATGTTAAGGCCTCAGCCCCTAGTGTTTCTAAATGTAATTGGTCTGAATTGCGTTCAGGCTTCAGAATTTTTTTTTTTCTTTTTTGAGACAGGGTCTCCCTCTATCACCCAGGCTGGAGATCAGTGGCACGATCACAGTTCTCTGCAGCCTTGACTTCCAGGGCTCAAGTGGGTGCCTCATCCTCTTAGGTAGCTGGGACCACAAGTGTGCCACCACACCCGGCTCGTTTTTGTATTTTTTGTAGAGATAGGGTTTTGTCATGTTGCCCAGGCTGGTCTTGAACTCCTGGGCTCAAGCCATCCACCCACCTTGGCTCCCAAATTGCTGGTATTACTTGTGTGAGCCACTGTGTCCAACCAGGCTTTGGAATCTCTTGAGGTTTCTTCAGGTCATTCGAATATTTGCCCAAGCTCGATGATCACTGCTCTAAACTGTGCCATCAGGTTAATAAGTAGATTTTGTGCTGGGCACAGTGGCTCACACCTGTAGTCCCAGCACTTTGGGAGGCTGAGGCGGGTGAATCACTTGAGGTCACGAGTTCAAGACCAGCCTGACCAACACGGAGAAGCCCCATCTCTACTAAAAATACAAAAAATTAGCCAGGCATGGTGGCGCATGCCTGTAATCCCAGCTACTCGGGAGGTTGAGGCAGGAGAATCACTTGAACCTGGGAGGCGGAGGTTGCAGTGAAGGAAATCGTGCCATTACACTCCAGCCTGCGCAATAAGAACTAGAAATTAACAGCAATGTTAATACAACACAACTAGAAATTAACAGCATTGATTTGCTTTCATTGTGCCTTTTAACAAGAGCAAAATTCCACCTCAAAAAAAAAAAAACAAAACTAGATTTTAGGTCCATTTTGTTGTCTTTCTGTAGAAAAAGCATAAAATTGATGAGATGGGGTGCAAAGTCAAGTCAACACTTCTATTTCACACACCTATGTCACTGAGTGGCCAATTTCTAGCTTTGAAGAAACTAGTCTCCACAGAATGCTAGCTTTTGAAAACCAAATCTTAAGTAAGGCTCGTTTTCTGACTGACGCACTTACACCCTGTTCTAGTTAAGTCAGGGTTTTCTTTCCACTGCTTTGCCAAAACGCTAGACTAATTTTCAACTCCGTGCCTCTCCGAGGCATTTTCTTAGTGGGAGGCACAGTGTTTCCAAAAATGTCAGAAAACCAAGAGAACTGCCAGAGATGATTTGGGATTGGGAGGTGGGCACCCATATTTTAGAGACCTAACCATGAATAACATTGGGTAAGTCATTCCTTCACCAAGTCGCATTTATTCTTCATGGCAAGATGCAAATCTCACTTATGTGCCAGTCTTGAACCGTAGAATCTTTGCCAGAAGCAGCGAGTGAGCCTAAGGTAAGGCTAGTGTGGCTTCAGTGATACTCTCTGGCTAGAAATGAACAGCATTGCTTTGCTGTCATTGTACCTTTTAAAAATGATGATCTCTTGATGGCAAGACATCATGGTGTTTTCCTTAAAATATGTTTCCTTTTAAAGTTAAGTAAAATCAGAGTGTGAATCAAATGGTTAAAGTAGCAAATACTAATTGTGCAGATGGTGTGCCAGGTCAAAAGTAAGCAGAAGGTAGTTTGAGACGGATTAAAGACACAGAAATGCTGCCGGGCGCGGTGGCTCAAGCCTGTAATCCCAGCACTTTGGGAGGCCGAGGAGGGCGGATCACGAGGTCAGGAGATCAAGACCGTCCTGGCGAACACGGTGAAAGCCCGTCTCTATAAAAATACAAAAAAATTAGCCGGGTGTGGTGGCGGGCGCCTGTAGTCCCAGTTTCTAGGGAGGCTGAGGCAGGAGAATGGCTTGAACCCGGGAGGCGGCGGAACTTGCAGTGAGCCAGGATCGTGCCACTGCACTCCAGCCTGGGCGACAGAGTGAGACTCCGTCTCAAAAAAAAAAAAAAAAAAAAGACACAGAAATGCTGCCTCATCTGAGTCCTTTCTGTCTCTGTCTTGCAGATAAGGATCTCCACCTAACAGAAGAACACTCTGTAAAAGTGAGAAGAGAAGGCACCTATTATCAAAATCCACCCAGCCATAGGAGCTGTGCTCACATTGCACCTGTCGTGTGACATGTGGCTGCCCATGCACACGAACCTGTGGCACTGAAAGACTAGGGCAGACAGCGGCTTCAGTATTCTTGGAATCCTGTGTCATGGACAGCACTTCCTGGGGGCTGTGGGGAAACTCCACCGGGGCACATGAGCCCCTCTCACCGATCTTGTCTTCAGAGTCATTTATAAAAAAAAAAAAATCCACCCTAAATGCTTGTGGATTAGTTGTATATTGGATTGCACCCTTTAAAATCTGAAAGATCAGCCTGCCCTCAGAATGACTGTGTGTGTGTGTGTGTGTGTGTGTGTGTGGGTGTGTAAGTGCACATGCGCACACATGGGATTATTAAATAAAATATTGCTACCTTGTCTTTCTGAAATACTTAAGAAGACATAAAGGTACCCACATGTTGGCAAAATATATTTTATTTGTTCATACAAAGAAATAGTATGAATTACCAGAATTTCATTTGCCTAGAAACATCTTTCTCTGTGTAAAATTAATTTGTGTTATACATAGGACAAAATACTTGATTTAATTTTTTGTACATATTGGCTATCCTAACATCCAAGTTATCAAAGACATACTGCTAGAATTTGCACAGTATTTTAGATTACTGGGTTGAATGAGACTCAGGGATAAATTAATGTCACAAAAGTGAAAAACCATCTAACCACACCTTTTAAGTTTTATTGGCCATCCTCTTGACAAGCTGAAAAGAAAAGTCACATTAGCTTCCGTGTCAGCGTCTTAGGTATGTACTGTTTCTAGTATACTGGAACCTTCCATTATCCTTTTTTACAAAAATATCCTGGCAGGATCTGAAACTGTTTCTCCAAATGTCTAAAATGTATCTGTCACTCAAAATGACCCCCAAAGAGAATCCTGGGAAGAAAACAATTTCTCCTCCTCCGTCAACCAATTAAGTATTTATTAAACAGTCACTACACTTAAAATACCTTTCCAGGTACCACCTACTAAGTTAACAGACTACTGTTCAAACACCGCAAAGAAAGCATGAACTAGATAGAAACAAGAAAAACCTCCCAATTTTTTTGTTGTTGAACTTTTTGTTTGTTTTTAAATGAGAAAAGAAACAAAACTGAGGAAAAAAAATAAAGTACTCCAATGAATATCAGAACTTTTCCTGTAAATTGGAGGAAGCCCAAAACACATGCCAGGACAAATTGCCGAAACAGAAAAGGGTGTTTGTCTCCTGGCAGCTAAAAAGTTAAGCTTGGTGGTCTTGCAGATTGCTAGAACAGGGAGAAATCTAAGGCTTACGTTACCTAACTTCCGCAGGAGGAAGATGACCGTCAGATGACGGGGTGCAAGCTCCGGCAGATGCTGCCACCAGATCTGTCAGGAACTTTAAGCCATCAGACCTTTATGAGGAGATGTACATGATGTTTGATTTGTCTTACATAGAAAAACTTGCTGTATTCCATCTGTACTAATTATGGACATCTGTTGGAATTCAAGGATTTGACCCAGAATAGAATTTTGACTCACTTCAGTGTTCATGACTAAATGACCCTCCTTCTACCAGAAAAATTTCCTGTTTCAGTTTTAAGGCAGGGAATAAAGAACTTAATAAAACATTGTCCAGCTTGGAAAGAGGGTGGGGCCCTGAAGGGGAGGGAAAAGCTCCTGCGTGTTTTCCTATGGCTTTGTTGCATACTCTTCTCTCAACTCTTCCGTAGTTCCACATCGACAGCCACATCAGACCATCCGAGTGGTCAGAAATTAGACAGGGCAAGACCAGGTAAAAGACTTGGATACTGCCTTTTACTTCAAGCCAAGTTTGCTGTAAACCGAAAAGAGGTGTTCTCAGTTTGATTTCAAATAAATGAAAAAATGCACGACCAATTAGCACCCTTTTGCAGGTGTTTTTCACACCCACTCATCAAGAAGGCAGAACCACACTATGATTCGGGTATTTCCCTAAGTGCAGGTCCCACATTACTTTCTGGAGACCGTGGAAAAGCTAAGAAATGGATATAGCATTGGAGAACAGGGAGAAACCTGACATGCGCAGATCCCCCATGAGCTTCCTCCAAAACAGAACCTACACAATGATGGTTTGGCTGCTAAGTGTAAGCTAGTTAGATGTAGGCTAAAACTTTTGGGCAAATACAAACCGGATTTTCAAGACATCACTTAAAGACCAGTGACATCTCTGATCAATTTCCAAAAATGAATTATCTTTTCCTCTTTTCATACAATGTTTCTTATACTATCAGGCAAGTGATCCCATACAACATACAGAAGTGTCCTTTGTAACTATCCCATCCCAACCATTTTGACAATATGTCTATCTTCCCACATATTCCTTGATGGAAGTATAACTGAAATCACAATCCTTTTACGGTAGAAGCATTCTGGTTTAAAAGGTTTAAAAAACTGAGGTTAAATTAAACATGTCATTATGTGATATTGCTATATGTTTAACCAACTGCCCCTGTATTACTATATGGCTATTCAATTGCCACTATATTGCTATCTGGTTACCCAACTGTTATAAACCAACAGAAAGGCACGGGGAGAGCATTCTGCACATCAGTGACAGTGCTGCTAACCCTTCTGTCAAGACCTGGCTAAAACAAGGGACAGCTGTATGAGCATCAGGTTCAAGGGTTTACAGGCAACATGGAGCCAGCTTTACCAACCTTTTTTTTTTTTTTTTTAACAAGGGCCACTCTTCGTTCTTGCTGTTTGGCCACTGGCTACCACCCATATTATCACTCTGAGAGATCATTCTGAGATGAGCTAGGAATTCCAAAGACACATCAAGCTGAGGTGTCAGACTCCCTTCCTCTGCCAGGCTGCCTGTCCTTTTGAGGCCTTTGTCCTTTCTGCCTATTGAGGCTGTGAGCCTGCTGCCCAACACTGGCTGGCTCTGTACCTAGCAGCACCTTGGTAGACACTGATGCCGAGGGACACAGCTGACCCCTCTGAGTCTCGACACCCAGCGCCCTTGGTTTGTGCCGGCGGCTCTGCTAGCCTACGGGATTCTTTGGTGTGTCAAAGCAGAACTGTCTGCCTGGGGAACGCAGCATGGTGTAGTTTCATGCAAATTAAAGGAGATCATCTTGATTTCTAAAGCAGCACCCAAGCATCTCACACATGTGACCTTGGAAAGAAGGGGCAACAATCTGCATGCACTTCAAACTGGTTAATGAACCAGGGAATGGGGCAGAGGAGGATACAGGGCCATCCTTCAAAAATCAAAAGCTGAAGTCAATGGACCCTAGCAATCTGACTCTAAAAGGATGTGGATAGCGGGCGCAGTGGCTCACGCCTGTAATCCCAGCACTTTGGGAGGCCGAGGCAGGCGGATCACCTGAGGTCGGGAGTTCGAGACCAGCCTGACCAACATGGAGAAACCCTGTCTCTACTAAAAATACAAAATTAGCCAGGTGTGGTGGTGCATGCCTGTAACCCCAACTACTTGGGAGGTTGAGACAGGAGAATTGCTTGAACCGGGAGGCGGAGGTTGTGGTTAGCCCATATTGCGCCATTGCACTCCAGCCTGGGCAACAAGAATAAGACTCCATCTCCAAAAAATAAAATAAAATAAAATAAAGGATGTGGATGTCCTTGTAAAGGGAGTGAGAGATTCCTCCATGTACTGAATGGAGGTGGGGACAGAACCCTAGCCCTGTGGCATTCAGGCTACATCATTGGACCCACATCTGCAAGGAGGCTGCTACATGAGGTCTGCCCTTCAGAATACAGCCCTGCTGAGGCAGCTCAGCGTTCCTACAAGGTACACAGGCAGGAAGAGACAGGGAAGCTGGAATGGGACACCCAAGACAAGACAAGGAGGCAGCAACTGGAGAACTCAGACGGTGACTGAAGGCTGAATACCCGTAACAACAAAAATCTCAAGTTGTGCTTTTCTTTGTTTTAAATATAACAGGTAGGGGAGAAGAAAGAAATGGAAGCACCATCAATTGTGAGGAAGAGAACAAAATTTTAGAGTTAAACACTTTGGAATGTTAACAGATTATGAAGCTAACTCTCTCAAGAGTGTGGCTAGGCAGCTTAGTGAATTAATTGCTTATGAATTAAAAATAAATTATTATAAAATAGATTTCTGTACATTTTACATACATATAATCTCTGTCAATAGATAAGCCACGTGGGTAAGGTACACAGCCCTGGTCTGTTCAATCCCAGCCAAAGTCGTGCCCGGTCATCTGGTAGAACTTGAGGTTGAAAGGCCGGTAGAACTCGCGCAGCCTGCGCACCACCTCGCGGTCGATCTCAGGGTGGGTCCTGCCCTTGGTCTTGCCCAGGCAGTGGGGCCGGCTGCTGCCCTCCGCCTTCTTCAGGCAGGGGAAGCCCTTGGTCTTGTTGAAGTAGAAGTGCTTGTCCGTGATGATCCGCTTGAGGCCCAGGAAGTCCTGCACGCGGCCCAGCTCGCCGGCCGGGTCGCTGATGAGCCGCTCGCCGCTCACGAAGAGCATCTGGCGGATGGGGAAGTGGCGCAGCCAATGCTCCAGGTGCTTGGCGTAGATGCCGATCTGGATGGCGCTCCACGACGTGTCGATGAGGCCCGTCGTCCTGTTTTTGAACGTCAAGCTCTCGAAGGTGGGGATGTCGGGCCGCTTGGACAGCGTCTGTGTGTAGTCCGAGATGGCCCTGGTCACCGGGTCCCGCACCACCACGATGAGCTTGGTGTCCTTGGACATGGCCGAGATGCGCGCGGGCGCCTCCCGCGTGACGAAGTAACTGGGCGTCTTCTCCATGGTGATCTGCCCGTCCAGGGTTCTGGGCATCAGGTCCCTGAGAAAAGCAAGCAAACAAACCGGGGTCAGAAGGTGACGCCTCTCTGGCCACACGTCTTAAGGTCACCACTTCGAATCCCAGCTCCCTCTTATTTCTGGAAGCAGTGGTAGAAACATGTAAAAATGCAAGTGGAACTTTAGCGATGAAAGGTACATGAGCATCCCACCTGGTTTGGAGGGCAGGTACCATCTACCGGAAACACGAAGGCCCCTTCACCAAGGGTGAAAGAGCAAGCTACCTGTTTCTCTAAGATTCTCTTGTGGGTATAACCTTCCCTTATTTTCGCAGCTTTCAGATTGCCCCAAGCATCTCGTGCCAAAATACAAAAGCCTTTGGCCTCTGATAAGTGCCTTTCCTAAAAATATAGCACCCAGGACTCCCAGAGATTTCACTGTCCATGAGTCCGGCCGCTAGTCCGCCTTCCCACACTTGCCAAACCCAAGCAAATGTGCCGTGGACACCGGAAGGAAAACATCCCTCGGGTCCAGCCCAGTTGTTCCAGGTTTATCACAGTGACTGCTGACAAAGCCTTTACTCCACAAAGCAACAAAGCACACAGCAGTCAAAAAATTCGGTGACATCAGGTAAGTAAACTGATACAAACATGCCACGAGAAAATTCCCAAGACACAATTCTAGAAACCTCCAAAAATACTTTAGAGGGGGTACTATGCTCACTACTTGGGTGACGGGATCAATGGTACCCCAAATATCAGCATCATGGAATATGCCCATGTAACAAATACCTGCATGTGTATCCCCTGAATCTAAAACAAAAGTTGAAATTATAAACAACAATTAAAAAAAAAAAAAACAAAAACGGGCTGGGTACAGTGGCTCACACCATTAATCCCAGCATTTTGGGAGGCAGAGGCGGGCAGATCACCTGAGGTCAGGAGATTGAGACCAGCCTGGACAAAATGGAGAAACTCAGTCTCTACTAAAAGCTAAAAAGAAATTACCCAGACATGGTGGTGCATGTCTGTAATCCCAGCTACTTGGGAGGCTGAACAGGAGAATTGCTGGAACCAGGGAAGCAGAGGTTGCAGCAAGTCGAGATGATGCTATTGCACTCCCACCTGGGCAACAAGAGTGAAACTCTGTCTCAAAAAAAGAAAAAAACAAAAAAAAAAGGCTGGGTGCGGCGGCTCACGCCTGCAATCCCAACACTTTGGGAGGCCGAGGCTGGCGGATCACGAGATCAAGAGATCGAGACCATCTTGGCTAACACGATGAAACCCCATCTCTACTAAAAATGTAAAAAATTAGCCAGGCGTGGTGGCGGGCGTCTGTAGTCCCAGCTACTCAGGAGGCTGAGACAGGAGAATGGCGTAAACCTAGGAGGTGCAGCTTGCAGTGAGCCGAGATCGGGCCACTGCACTCCAGCCTGGGCAACAAAAAACAAACAACAACAACAAAAAAAATTAAATGAGGTTAGATCTAGCAATCTCATTTCTGGATATATATGTGTGTGTATATATATATATATACACAGACACAAAGGAATTGAAATTGGTATGTCAAAGAAATATCTGCATTTCTCTGTTCATTTTATAATAGCATTATTCAAAACTGACAAGATATGGAAGCCACTTAAGTGTCTATCAACAGAGAACAGATTTTTTAAGTGTAGTATATATGCACAATGAAATATTATACAGCCTTTAAAAAGAAGGAAATTCTGTCATTTGCAATAACATGAATGCAACTGTAAGACGTTATGTTAAGTGAAATAAATCAGCACAGAAAGACAATACTGTGTTATCTCATTTATATGTAGAATCTAAAAAAGTTGATCTCACAGAAAGAAAGTAAAAATGTGGTTACCAGAGGCTGGTTGGGGGATTAAAGGGAAGATGATGAAAGACAAGATGTTGATCAAGGGGTTCTAAGTTTCAGTTAGACTGGAGAAATAAGTTGTAGTGATCTATTTCACTGCATAGTGACCACAGTTAATAATAATGTATTGTGTATTTCAAAACTTCTACAAAAACAGATTTTCAAGTTTACCACACACAAAAAATGGTAAGTTGGTGAGGTGATGGATATGTTGATTTGCTTGATTGAATCTTTCTTTTTTTTTTGAGACGGAGTCTCGCTCTGTCACCCAGGCTAGAGTGCAGTGGCATGGTCTCGGCTCACTGCAACCTCTGTCTCTCAGGTTCAAGCAATTCTCCTGCCTCAATCTCCTGAGTAGCTGGGACTACAGGCGCCCACAACCACGTCCAGCTAATTATTGTATTTTTAGTAGAGACGGGGTTTCACCATGTTGGCCAGGATGGTCTCGATCTCCTGGCCTTGTGATCTACCTGCCTCGGCCTCCCAAAGTGCTGGGATTAAAGGTGTGAGCCACTGCTCTTGGCCATTGATTAAACCTTTCTGGAATGTAAACGTAGATCAAAATATCATCTTGTACCCCCAAAATATGCACAATTATTTATTACAAATAATTTTTTAAAAAAAGGAAAAAAATTAAAGGAAAGTCATAAAGCTGACTCAGTTTAGCTTAAATTAGCTCCTTAAATTGGTTAAGGAATTTGGGCTCTAAAGTCAGACTGCCTGGGTTTAAATCCTGACTCTACCACTTATAAGTTATGTCACTTTGAATAAGTTATTTAACTTTTCTGGGCTTCTTTTTCTCGTCCACAAAAATGGAGCTACCAATACGTATTCATGGAAGTTTAATGAGGATTAAACAATTAATCATTATAATACGATTAGAACACACCTGACATATGGAATATACTTGACAAATATCAGCCACTACTACTGTCATTATTATTATCATTATTAAGTTGCTCAATACACAGTCTATGGTATGTGATAGAACCAAAATTCAGCATATGTGTATAAGTGCTAGCGTGTATGCATCAAAAGGAGGTGTGTTATCTAAGTGGATACTAAGCGTTGGCCACAGATCTACAATCAGGCAAGTTATTATTTACAAGTCCGATAATTTATTGTGTGCCTGCGATTATTCTAGATATCATGTTAGAGGCTATATCATCTATTAGCTATCTACTATGGAATAGAGATTTCTGATTGATTCCTGCCTAGGCACAGGAATTAAAGGGGAAAAAAAGAGACAATTTCCACATTATTTTTGACCAAATATTTACCTCTCAGTAAGGCATTCTAAGCTTCAAGCCATCTTAATCCACGGAGACCACAATTGCCCTGTCTAGCACTGATAGGGAAACCACAGAAACTTTATCACAGGAGACAGAAAAGGCAATTCTCTAGCGGGCAGGCACTCCTTCTTCCGGACTGCCAACAGGGAGTTTGAAGAAGGGTGTTTTTCCCTTAAGGAAGATTGCTCAGCAGCACTGCAGTCAGCCTTGGTTTAAGCTAAAGCTGGATTGACCCACTTTGCCCATTAACCACTTAAATTAATGTAGCAGTGTCATCAGCCTAATGTGGTTGAGGATTAGAGAGAGTCTCGGCTCGCAACTTATTTTGCATTTGACCAAAAAGCAGGTCAAGTCAGATAAAGCCCAACTTCTTTTTCCTCTGTGTTAAACCATCTGCAACTAGACAGTTTACAAGAAGTTAATATTCAGAATCAAAGCATTATCACCACGATTGAAGGAATATACCAAACCCCAAGGTTCTTCAGGGCCGTTGCAGAGAAGGGGGTTTAGGGGCATACTCGGTGTCAGTCTGACCTAGCATGGGCTTGGAAGTCAGGCCACCGAGTTTGACTCTCAGCACTTCCATTTACTAAGGTGTGTGACCCTGGGGGATACATCACTTAATCTGTTCATGCTGCAGTTTTCTCATCTGAATTAAAAAAAAAAAAAAAAAAAGATGATGTTTGCCTCCCAGGGCTTTTGAAAGAACTGCAAAGTTGGCTTTGGTACCCAGCCTGGTACCTAGTAGGCTGTTAGAAAAATGTTATCAATTATCTTCTGTTGACAGGATCTTGGAAAGGATGTAAGGAAGCAAGGTTTTTGCGCAGGGGACTTGTCACTCATTCAGTTCTACCCCACAGTGGGGCAATGAGGGAGGTTTGGCTCCTGGAAGAGGCTAAGTGCAGGAATGCTGGATTCCGCTTTCAGCCTGCCTGGGGTCCACAGCCTTCCCTGAACTCTGCAGCCGGAATTTCCTCACTGGCCCTAAAGAAGGGTTTGTCAGTAGCTGAACAGAATGCTAAATTGGCAATTGTGTATAAGAAACCACATAATAAAGCTAGTAAAAAGGAAATGAGAGATCAACCATAAATAAAGATTCCCTGAGCTGTGGGCAGATTTACTGTGCTCGACCGCCTGCTGGTCCCCTCAACCATATAAGAGTCCCTCTCCCCAGGACAGTCTGGTGTTTGTCTACATGTGTCAGAAAGCACTCAAGGAGCCTCAGAATTTATTTTGATTATTGTCAAAATAACCGAGTCAGGGGAACTACTGCTGTGACAAAGAGACTTCTAAGCCCTGGTCCAGTGGAGGCTCTGGGGCTGCTCTCCCCTCAGCATGCCTGGGTGCAGACAAGCAGTGGCTGAGAAGTGAGATCCACAACAGAATTTATCATTTTGGCAAATGCCTCCTGAGCCCTCTCCAAAGGCTTCCTGGGACACATCTGTAGTAGGCGCTGGGCTCAGACCCTGGCATCTCCCAGCATGCCCCTGTGGATCCATCTGTTACAGAAAAAAATTACTCAGCCGGGCTCGGTGGCTCACGCCTGGAATCCCAGCACTTTAGGAGGCCGAGGTGGGTGTTCACTTGAGGTCAAGAGTTCGAGACCAGCCTGGCCAACATGGTGAAACCCCATCTCTCCTAAAAATACAAAAATGAACTGAGCATGGTGGCACACATGCCTGTAATCCTGGCTACTCGGGAGGCTGAGACAGGAGAATCTCTTGAGCCTGGGAGGCGGAGGTTGCAGTGAGCTGAGATTGTGCCACGGCACTCCAGCCTGGGCAACAGGGCGAGACTCTGTCTCAAAAGAAAAAAAAAAAGAAAAAATTAGTCAATCACGCTTGTTAAATCACAGTAGCAAAGACTT